TTAGGGTTAGATTTAAGGTTAGGTTAAGGGGTAGGGTTAGGTTAAGGGTTAGGGTTAGGTTAAGGGTTAGGGTTAGGTTAAGGGTTAGGGTTAGGTTAAGGGTTAGGTTTAGGGTTAGGTTTAGTTTTAGGTTTAGGGTTAGGGTTAGGTTTAGGCTTAGGTTTAGAGGTTAATTTTAGGTTTAGGGTTTACAGCGTGCTTCTGTCTCCGCGCTGTTGTCGCCCTGCTGATGACATCAGCGACCGACGCGGTTTAGTCGGGCGCGGTTTAGTCGGGCGCGGTTTTGTGGTGGAACCGCATCTTTTATATCACTTTGTTGTTTGTATGCACGCTGAGAGCTTATGCACCGGAGACAAATTCCTTGTGTGTCCAATCACACTTGGCCCACAGAACAGTCTACATTCTCAATGTTAACGTGGTCCTTCCTTAGCCACCAGCCGTACCACGGCTTAAGGGAGCACGATTTCTCACCCGTGCGTTGATCCACCTCACCTTGCACAGGTATGGTAACTGTCTGCCCGTTATTGGCGGTCACCGTGGCGGTTGCCACGGTGACCAAAGTCTGCCCAGGCACCGGAGTGACAGGGATGGCATCGGAGGAGACGTTTTGTACAGGCACGGTGCTGATCACAGGCGGCTGAGAGACCCTCACGGGCGTCCGAGGGGCCTCCCCGGGGGTGTCGCTGTCAACGAACAGCCTTCTTCTGGTAGGGTTGGTGGTTGGAGAGCTGTACCGTTCGTAGAGGGTGGCTGGGGAAAACGAAATGCCTGCAAGAGATCACAAAAGGGGAGGAGAGGGGGGGGGGTTAGATGGGAGAGAAAAGCAGGTGTGATGTAAAACCTGGGAAAAGGAACTAAATTTGGAAAGGCTCACCTTTTCCCTGAGTTCCAGTTTCAGCACGAACTTCATTTAATCTCCTCGGAGTTAAAGGGGACCCAGCCACGCTGTTGCCATTTGATCTTTCAAAATACTGAGGTGGCATCACCTAAAAAGCACAAAATACTTCATCACGGTATTGTCAGCGTTTAGGCACCGCTGCCTAAAAATTCCTGTTGCTCCAAATCTCTTGGAAAAATCTTTGTACAAGTCACAAAGGAGCCAAAGAAAAGAACTTTTTGTCTTTTTACCTCTTCGCAGGTAGGGACCTTATTTTCATTTTCTTTTATTTTATCCCAGAGTGGGGATTCCGTTTTCCATGCCAGGCTCTCTAAAATCTGTTCCTCGATGTGGTTGAGATGCTTCACCACCTCTCTGCAAAGGCCATCCTCTGCTCTGATCAGGATCTCGATTACCTGCAACGTATCAAATCAAAATCTTTATGATGGGCAAGGATCAGCAATAAGGATGAGCTGGCCCGGAGGTGGAACTCTTGCCTCACAATCAGGAGGCTGTGAGTTCGATCCTAGATAGAGGCAGATATTTCTCTCTCTGGGCATGGTGAGAATATATCTGCTGAATATAACTCTGCATTGGCGACAGGAAGGGCAACTGGCCAGTAAACACTCAGCTTCATTCAATTGCCCAGGCAGGTAGCATGTCTATAGGTAGCATGGAATAAACTTCGTAGTAGTTTTCAACTCCACCCCGGCTTCTGATTTCTTGCGCCTGACACATGTCGCTCTACGATTGTTTCCATTGCCTGAGTCTTTCACAGCAATTGCGTTAATTTGTTGCATCACTGCACGCAAAGGATTTACCTTATAAAAGTGGAAGGCAGGAACATCAAAAACATCCGTGATGAACGGGAAACTATCCGCTGTCTTGTAGGAGTAAATAATTACTTCAAGGCAGCAGGCCATGAGAGACTTATGAAAGACATCGTGCTCCAAGATGGCCTAGAATAATTTAAAAGAAGAGGGCAGTTCAGTACAAAAATCAGATATTTGTTGCTTGCTAACATTATCATGTGCCTGAATCGCCAAGCAGAGATAGTTTTTTAAAATGCACCTGCAATGCTATCTGCCCATTAAGAAACATATACAAAGCGAATTTAAGTGGAAGGGGAAACTGAAAAGGTTTAGTAAAACATCCTGATTACATATTGGGGTGTCCTAAACCTTGTGATGATCAGGGTGAATCTTCCCTAAGTTTCAGCTGTGGGATTCCTCTGCTTTTGATTGTTCCCTAAGCAGAATCTCTTACCCCCATCTCTCATCACGGTTGGTTAAGTCACGGTGGCCCACTTGACATTATATCCCTTTGACAAATTACCGTGTTAGGTGAAAGCAGTGAGCAAACTGAAAGCTAAAAGTATGGTTAAGTATCAGATTCTGGTCAGTTTTTGCATCTTATCTCAGTCTTCGATGTTGTATTTTCCTGAGGATTCTATCAGTTGTTTTTATAAAGAGAACATTTATGCAAACCACTGGACTATACTTACAGATAGATCAGCGTCTTCTAGTCTTTTCTTTTCTTGCTTTAGGACGGATTCCAAAACCTTATAATAAAGGACCTCAGCGAGACGGAAGTGTTTACCAACAAGATCTAAAATAATTGTGTAATATAAAATAAACAATGTTTACCCATAATGAAATAAAATTTTAAAAAAGGAAAACTTTCGCGGATTATTAACCACCAGTAAAATAATCACTAAACACACACACATGTGGTTCCCTTCTCCCCCAGAACTGGTTTCTTGATTTTAAACAGGAACTATTTTAAGGTCTCTTGAAATGAACATTAAGAATCAGCTTGCAAAGAAACAGAATTCCTGTTATACATCATACATCATATACACTAAGAAAGAAATAATATTGTAAGCTGCCCAGAGTTACCCTGTGTTAAGTTGCGCGGCCAATAAATTTAATAAATAATAATAAATTATCATTTTTATATTGCACTTATATGTAAGAATATATCAAGTAAAAATGTTAAATTAAATACTTAGTTTAATACTAAAACTAGAGTCTTTGGGGAAACACAAAACATAGCAAAAATGCTTTTTACACGTTCTCACCTTTGGGGAAATTTCCAGATTCTCCAGAAGATGGTGCCTTTTGCGAATAAATTTCATACATTTCTTTCACTCTATTGGTAATGGACACAGAAGGATCCCTGGAGCAACTTCTGTCAATGAACAATGTAGATTTGCCACTTTTGAAAGAAAAGATCTTTGTGCGTATGTAAGTTTTATACGGGAGGCTTTTAAAAAGAATGCCATTGTTTTATCCAAGAGTTTATCACTAAAATAAATTGAAACTTGTCCTTAAGTCTCAAAAGTTACTTTATTTTACTTTATTGTCATTGCATATTGTGCAATGAAATTAAAGGCATTTATGTATTTTTTATACATAAAAAATAAAACAAAAACACACATCCTTCACATTCTTTACAACTGAATTAAAAACCCCTGATACTGCATTAACTGTCAGATTTCCTAAAAATGCCATAATTGATTCATTAGTCAAGTTTTCAATGCAAAACCAGTCATTGATTAGGAGAACCATTAGGCAAAATCTGTTCACAGTCAAGCCTATGCTTTGTTTCATTTATCTCTGAACTTTACCTGTTCCTTCCCTCCCCTCAGTCTGTGTCAATACAATAGCAGAGTTGGAAGGGACCTTGGAGGTCTTCTAGTCCAACCCGCTGCCTAGGCAGGAAACCCTATATTATTTCAGACAAATGGCTATCCAACATCTTCTTAAAGACTTCCAGTGTTGGGGCATTCAAATCACATTACCCTATAAGATGCACCCCTCCCAAACCGGCTGCAGTAATCTGAGATCCGACTCCAGCCGACAGTGGAATGCACTCCCCACCACCACATTCTGTCCCCATGACAACAATGAGAATTGATATTAATATTGCACTATACAGTAGAATTCAGTATCTGCTATTTTTCAGTCTATTTGTCCTTGTTTTTACTGTCCTGTACCGTCTGCCAGATGGTAATAGTTCAAAAAAAAAAAATTGCCTAGGATGAGATGGATCTTTAAGGACGTTTTGAACTTTCTTAAGGCAGCGGGTGCTATAAAGCTCTTCCAGAGAGGGGAGAGGGCAACCCATGATCCTCTGGGCAATGACGTTGACCCTCTGGAGCGCTGTCCTGTCTGCCACTGTGCAACTGGCAAACCATACACAGGTGCAGTAAGGTGAAATACTCTCTATGGTGCAGCGGTAGAAGGTCACCAGCAGTTTTCCATTCAGTTGTTGTTTCCTGAGAAGTCTCAGGTAGTATCATCTCTGCTGGGCCCTTTTGACCAGTGCTGCAATGTAAGTGCCCCAGGTCACGTCCTCTTTTCTGACAACACCCAGAAACTTAAAACTGGCCACTTGCTCCACTCGGTCTCTATTGATAACCAAGGGCTGGATGTCTAATCTATTCCTTCTATCGTCCACTATAAGATCCTTGGTCTTATTGTTGCTAAGGACCAAATTATTGTCTCCACGAAAGTATAACTTTGTATGATGGCGCAGGGTTCACAAATCCATTTGTTTATTACACACTGAACATCACTGAAGAACACACAGTCCACTTTTGGGATTTTTTTAAAAAAAAGCACATACAATCACATGGAATTCTTAAAAAGAGCACCACTTCACCAACTAAATCCTGTTTGAATTTCATCCGCCCAACCAAAATTTGAATCGTCATGGAGCCACCGGTTTGGGAAGTGGCAGGAGGGGGCATTCTACTGACCTCAGAATTTGCTCCAGATTCTCACTAGGGGCGTTCTTCAGCCCTGCCAACATTGTGTGAAGCCGTGTCAAGCAGTGGGTTGCGATGGAAATGGGGCTCAAGTAAGGATCGCTATCCTTGATATATTTCCGGCCAGTGAGAGGCGTAGATATTCTGAAAGATTTTGTCTAATCAAAAGAGACAAAGATGAAAGGCGTTTCAAGAAAGTTCCTGTACTTTCAACTAAAATTTGGATTCAGAAAAATCACCTTCATCAACCCCAAACAAGGCTTATCCCTGGTTATTGCCTTCTTTGGACTTCTAACCCACAGTCTCCCTATTATCTATACAGAACAGTGCCCCTATAAAGTGCGTAAGAAAAATAACAAGTACAGGGTCAGAGATAAACTGTTGGCATATTCTGATAATCTGGGGTGTGATGGGGCAGTATGATTGCTTTAAAGGGACACAGCAATTAAGTGACAGACCGGTAGCGCTTAATCAGGATGCAAGACTGAGAAACGCTATATATGTTAAGTTAAGCTAATTATACTTGGCGGAATCCTTGGTGGACTCTGGGCGTAGCTGTTTACTTGCAGACATTTCATTACCCAAACTAGGTAACACCATCAGCAACCCCCTTCTCTTCTAGCACTGATGATATTACCTAGTTGGGTAATGAAATGTCTGCAAGGAAACCACCAAGCTCAGAGAGCACCAAGGACTCCTCATTTAAACCCTGAGCTACCAAGATTTGCCCTTTATTGGTAGATAAACTTTAAATTTTAATAACCTATATTAAATGAAATTAAATGAAACGTTTTCCAATAGATAAGACATCCTCCTTTGAATAAGAGAGCTTTTTTATTCCCTTCCCTTGGACACAGAACCATGTCGCTTGGCATGCGCAGCGTCACCCGTTCCTCTTCCGGGTTTCTGGCGTGCATGCACACATGATGATCAGCTGGCCTTCATGCGTGTGGCAGTGCCAGAAACTGGAAGAGCTGGTCTTCCGTTTTCCAGCGTGAGCATGTGCGATGGCCAGCTGATCGTTACGCACACATGCGTGCCAGTAACCGGAAGACTAGCTGGCCAGCGCGCATGCGCACTCCAGAAACTGAAGAGTTCATTTTCCAGCATGCACATGCCGCGTGGGCAGCTCCTCTTCCGGGTTGCGTCCTAGACGACCACTTGGTGCCGAAAAGATTCGCCATCACTCACCTAGACTCCGAGTTTGATGGAACTTGAAATAAGGCTCAGCATCACAGAGATAACTTCAGACCAGACTGTGTTTAGACTCACCCGTTCAAAGTGTTCCTGCAGATTATATTTCATTTGTACCCTTTCGGCTGTTTCCATCTCCGAAGCTGTGTTTAAACACCTTCGCAGGGTTCCGATTTCCTCGTCGGCATCTTCTCCAAGAAAGATCCTCTCATCTAGATTCCCAACTGACAGTATGTATTCCTCGTAGGCCTTGTTGATGGCCTTACTGGAGTGAAGAATGGAAGAAAGGCAAGGGGCTGAACGAGGTATAAACGCTTGCAAACGATCGCTAAACATTTTTATGAGCTTTTGTAAAATTGTGAAACCCAACCTGAACTGCAAGAGAAACTACAGACTGTGGGATCCTTTGTAAACCCAGAAAATCCTGAAATGAGTAGAAACGTTGTTTTATGGTACTTACAAGCTTTCTGCAAAGTTTCCAGGATCCAAAAAACCTGTCAGGTTCTCCTCTTTTCCTTTTAGGATCTATGAAAGAAGAGAAAAGAAAGAAAGAAAGAAAGAAAGAAAGGAAGGAAGGAAGGAAGGAAGGAAGGAAGGAAAGGAAGAAGGAAGGAAAGAAGGAAGGAAGGAAGGAAAGAAGGAAGGAAAGAAGGAAGGAAAGAAGGAAGGAAAGGAAAGAAGGAAGGAAAGGAAGGAAGGAAAGAAGGAAGGAAGGAAAGAAGGAAAGAAAGAAGGAAGGAAAGAAGGAAGGAAAGGAAGGAAGGAAAGAAATGAAGGAAGGAAGGAAGGAAGGAAGGAAGGAAGGAAGAAAGAAAGAAAGAAAGGAAGGAAGGAAGGAAGGAAGAAGGAAAGAAATTGAAGTTAACTGTCAATAATGGAGCTGCAGCGATTCTAAAGATCGGTTAGAACTGTTATCTGATGACATACCTTCTTCTCAAAGAGTTTTTTCACATAGGGTTTCCAAAAATGTTCTTTTATTCCCTTGGCATCCAAAACCAAGCCATCGTGCAAGGAGCAGAGTTTTTCAATGATGCAAGGGGCTTCGGACAAGAGTTTAAAATCCTTACTCTGAAAATCTTCAGGCAGCCCTTTGTTAATGGTTAAGTGGGAAGGGGATGAGAGAAAGAGAAATAAAGAACATTTTTCCACCTACCTAAATAGACAGATGAGAAAGAAGAAGGAAAAAACCCCAACCCCCACACAATCAATTTCCTGTTGTATGTAAGATCTGTTGTTCTTTTAAAAGTATGAAGCGATTTTCTTGCTCTTCAATTTTCATCAGGTCAACTAGTTAAGTTTGAATATGAATAATTTTCCTCTATGGCATACTATGATTTTCTCTGGTAACCTTTTAATAAATGACTGGATAGCACAAGAAAATAAACGGGTGAACTTTTTAGCACAATATACAGCATTTTGCTATCCATATTGTATGGTTTATGTTAATTAAAAATAAATAATAATACTCGGAGAGCAGCATAATAAAACAGTATTAAATTTACCCTTAAAACTTGGATTCAGAATCTCCTTACGATTTGGACACTGCAAAGAACTCCCATAGACTAGGTCAAGGACGCACAGTAACAGATGGTATGAATTTACCAAATCATCACTGATCATAGGAAAATTGCCTGTGAAAGTCAATATGGAAACAGATTGTAGAAATTTATTTATTTTTTAAACTAAATTAATAAATTTGCATACCACATTTTTTACCAATAACCAGATGCAATCTTGAGAACATATGCCTACATAATATCAATTAAATCAATTATTTAGTTTGTGGCTTGTGTGAGACCTGCTGTAAAAATATATTAAAATGCTAGGTTGAATATTATGATGAAATGCACAAATATTCAATTATGCGCTGACCTTGATATAGAGTAGGGGAGGGCATTAATATGGTCAATTTGAACGAAGCCATATTCTGTAAGAATTATTTTCTTTTAACCAAAGATAAACATCAGAAAGCAATGTTTCCAAGCTTCAAATGCATTCTTTCACGTCTTAAGAGAGTCTATTTCCATTCAAAATAAATAGGCAAATTAAAATATCATATCTATTTAACAATGGTTTCAAATAGCATGTGCTATAAATTTAGACATGCGGAAGGTAACGATATATTATTTAAAAGGGGGAAACTAAGCATACAAAATTAATAGTCAACGTTGCTAAAAATTGGTTTATGGGATGTTAGCATTTGTCCTACCGTGTACGTTCATGGAGAAAGCAGTCTGAATGACAACAGGAAGGCATCTGCAGATTTTCCACCCAGACAAAAGGAACCTATGATGCCATTCTTTAAACTAGAAAGCCTATCACTCAAACAAGCACAAACCTGCCCTTTGAAGCATGGTTGCTATGATAAAGAGAACAGAAACCATTTCCCTAGCAAAAAGAAAGAGAAACAAATTGTGTCTGTGTGTATTTTGAGTTCCTGGGCTTACAAGTAACATACTGCATTTTTCTAAGACGGACCAAGATTTTGAAGAGGCAATTTTTTAAAAAAATTAAAACTTAAAAAAAGTTTCTGCACTCTGCAGACCTCCCAAAAGCAGCCCGTTTTTCACAAAAACGGGCCCATTTTTTTTTGTCAAAAAAAGGGCATGCATAGCCTTTAGGAGCCTTGAAGAGTGCTCCTGGGGGCTGGGGAAAAGAGCAAACAACAGCCAATTTTTCGCTCATTTTTGCCCTACCCAGCCCCCAGGAGCACTCTTCAAGGCTCCTAAAGGCT